GCACAGCTTGGTTATAAGCTTTTTAGATGATACAAATATCGATTTGCATCAAATTGTTCATGCTTTTAATTTTTACCATCTGTTTTATCACCCTGAAACTTCTTATACATTCAAAAAGAATATATAACCTGAAAGTAACCAAGTGATACGTAACAGTAGAGATTTAGAAATAATTCCATGACCTAAAATGGTATTGCAGCCATACACTTGTCTTTTTGAAGGAAAGCAAATACTATGAAAATCAAGAAGGCCATAAAGGCGTCCCACAATATTTTAGGAACGACTGACGATACGGCATACAGGCATTCGGCCCTTATGGCCTCATTGATTTTCCTATTTTTCTACTTTATATCAGACTGAAAATGTCTTACAATTCAAAAAGAAAACAGTCTCACAGTAGGAGAGCGCTGACGCTGACACGCAAAAGCAAAAATTTAGAAATTACCAGTCTTTCTGAAGGAAAGAAAAGACTGTGCAATTCAAGGAGACCATAAAGGTGTACAACAGTAATTATTGTAGGAACGACTGACGGTACGGCCCTAAATCTCTATCGATATCTCTTTTGCTGGAATGGCAGCTGCTAATTTCCACGTAGCCTGACACTACCATTTCATTTTCCAAGCTACCAGTCTTCCTTTTTCTGGCAATAGTGGGACGGCGGGTACTTCCCGTACTCCTTAGTTGCGGAACACTCGCTTATGCTGTTTTTTGCATGCATTCAAAATAGACGGCAAGCATATCAAACGCTATTTTAAGCGGCATTAGAAAATTCGAAAGTAAACTTGAAAATGACGCGACCTCAACGGTTTTGAAGTTTGCAGTAATTAATTTTAGTTTATTCTGTTGCTTCCGTTCTACAATTTCATAGCACGCTAGATCTTATTAATATGGTATTTTAAGCGAAATAACCGCTATATAAAGATAACAATACTATGGAGATCTCAATACCTGTGGGAGATACAGCTCATGTTAAATTAGGAAAAATTTGCGTTCTCTGGGGCGTATTTACATACCCTTGAGAAACGTGTAAAAATTTCATGACTTACTGAGATATTTGGGAAAAACTTAAATTTAGCAGAATCATTTTTATTTTTTTCTGACATTATTTTAAAGAATATCAAAATACTGATGAAACTTTTCCATTAGAACTTTTTAGGCACTACATGGTGTTTTCAAATTTTGTGCCCTACGGTGCGTTTTTGAGAAACCATCATCAACTTTTGTCACGTGCCAAAATCACGTAACCTTTTTTTACTATTTATCACTTGTCCGTAATTTAAATTTCTCTTCATTGATAATAGAGTGCTCATTACTAGGCCATACCATTTTCAATGAGAAGCGTCGATCCTTAGCACTGGGCCCTTCAATGAGTTCTCGTGCCTGGCGGAGATGTCTGGAGATACTTCTCCATTTCTGAGAGTGTTGTCTTGCAACCCACGTCTCCATTTTCATCCTAGCTTTATGCGCGGTCACTCCTAGAGCTGGGTCGGGACCAACGAGCTTGCTGGGTGATCCTGTCTTCGCCAGAGTATCCGCCGCCTCATTGCCCCTTATCCCAGCGTGCCCCGGTACCCATATTAACGATACCAGATGCCTCGCTGCGAGGCAATCCAGAGCCTCCTTGCATTGCAATACAAGACTCGAAGTAATCTTACAGGCACTTAGTGCTTTCATTGCAGCCTGGCTGTCGGATAAGATTGTTATTCATCTCCTAGGCCCACCCTCCTCCAGAATGTGAGATACACAAGCCAGAATCGCAAAGACTTGCGCCTGGAAAATAGTGGTGTATATCCATCGAGAGGCAGAGATAGCCTAGTTCTAGGTCCAGAGACCCCAGCACCAGGTGGATTCAAATCTGGTGACCTGGCTGGCCACGGTATTGTACCAGACCGCCCTATCCATCTGCCTGGAAAGTTTTGATCGAGATACTCTCTCACTGAGAGTGCATGGTGCGCTGGGCAGCCATCATGCTGAAACCACATGTCCCTGTAAATACTCAGTGGCACGTCCTCCAATAAATTTTCTAAATGATTTTGCAAAAAACCTAAATAAACCTCAGCAGTCAAAGTCTCTAGGAACTCAAACGGACCGATTATTTTACCATTTAAAATTCCTGTCCAATGGTTTATCTTGAAGCGATATTGAGATTTATCTTCTTTCATCAAATGTGGGTTTGCTACGTGCCACTCGTGTAAGTTATGCAGGTTCATGTACCCATCTTTCTTAAATGTGGTCTCATCTGACCATAAAATTTTTTCAAAGAACAGTGGACCTTCCCTGTGTCTTTCTAACATTGTGCGACAAAAAGCAACTCGGGGCTCATAATCCCGGGGCAGAAGAGCTTGAACACGCTGTACGTGGTATGGATGGAGCACGTTTTCTTGCAAGATTCTATGGGCTGTACTTTTGGGCACACCTGTTTTTAGTTCTATTGCACGCACTGAAGTACTCGGGTCTTCTTCGACAGCTCCTAGCACCACGTCTTCGTAAGGAAGGAAAGATCTTCCCTCACCGTGTGATTGGTTTGGTAGTTGGCCCTCTGAGAACAGTAAGCGGTGCACATTTGTGAACACTCGATGATCTGGATGACGAGCTGCATTTGGGTACCTCTCACGGTAGAGTCTCGCTGCAGCACTAGCGTTGCATCTGCATTCCTCATAAATGAGGTGCATGTTAGCATATTCTTGTACGGTGTACACGGACATAGCGGCAATGCACAATCACACTATCAAAGATAGTCTAAGGAAAGCAAATGTTGTTTTGAAGAGCAATTAAACAGTCCAAATCCAAATCACAAGCGATCAACAGTCCAGTTCACGAATCCTAAATTAGTAACAGTACGAAATCAACAAGCACAAACATGTAAAGATGCACAGTAAACGAAGGAGTACTGATCGGTATCAAAGTGTGCAATAGCAAGTAAGTGATGTGCTTCATCCATACCACATACAGCGTGTTCAACCTCTCCTGCCCCGGGATTATGAGCCCCGAGTTGCTTTTTGTCGCACAATGTTAGAAAGATACAGGAAAGATCCACAGTTCTTTGAAAAAAAATTATGGTCGGATGAGACCACATTTAAGAAAGATGGGTACATGAACCTGCATAACTTACACGAGTGGCACGTAGTAAACCCACATTTGATGAGAGAAGATAAATCTCAATATCGCTTCAAGATAAACCATTGGACAGGAATTTTAAATGGTAAAATAATCGGTCCGTTTGAGTTCCCAGAGACTTTGACTGCTGAAGTTTAATTGGATTTTTTGAAAAATCATGTACAACATTTATTGGTGGACGTGCTACTGAGTATTTACAGGAAAAGGGGTTTCAGCATGATGGCTGCCCAGCGCACTATGCACTCTCAGTGAGAGAGTATCTCGATCAAAACTTTCCATGCAGATGGATAAGGCGGTCTGGTACAATACCGTGGCCAGCCCGATCACCTGATTTGAATCCTTTAGATTTTTTTACTGGGGAACTGTAAAAGAAAAAGTGTATTTCAAGCCGATTCAAAATGTAGCTGAGCTACGGCAAAGACTATTGGAAGCAGCTGAGTTTGTTAATAACCGTGGATTCGCTCGTTTAATAACCCGATCTTTTTTAAGAAGATGTCGAGCATGTATTGCGGCTGAAGGAAAACAGTTTGAGCATTTGCTGTAAAGGTAAATCATCATCAGCAGCATTTTGACGCCCACTGTTGTGCAAACAGTTATCCTTAAGGGTCCTTGTGCGTTTTCATAATCGCTGCTTAATTAGGAAATTTTGAAAAATTTTCATCAGTTTTTCTTCAAATAAAAATTGTGCATAAGTTAACGAGTAATCTTCTAAGTGTTATACCATTTTGGAATCCTTATTAAATGCGACAACTTTTAAGGTTACTTGCCAAACTCTCGTGGTACATTTTTTTCCAGTACAGCCCGTTAAAGTTGAGCAAAGTTTTACTTTGGAATAGTTGGTTGGGAAATAAGTGGCAATATTTCCTGAACGAGAAAAGTTGGCAGTAAGGTTGAGACACCAGTTTGAAGATGCATTATTCATCATTACATTGTAAAAATAAAATCCAAAAAAAGTTAATATTTGTAGTAACAGGAGTTGACAGACTGCCGTAGGGTGTGAAATTTCTATATTTTTTTCAAAGACCTATAATTTTCAAAACACATACATAAAATTTTTTTAAATATTTTTCTGTTAGCTGTTATGACTTTGCCTATCACCCGGTTTCGGCTTGACGTCGACTTCTGGGGGTATACTACATCTCATTAACTACAGAACGGTACGTTCAATTGTTCCGACATGATGATGATGATGATGATAGAAGACTGCCTGGATTATTTACTTTTGGCACAGGTTAATAGTTGTTAGTTTCAACAAGGCGGTGCTCCTACACATATCTCTAGCCAAGTTCGAGAGTATCTTTCTCAACGATTTCCCGAAGGTGGATTCTAACCTCCAGAGAATGATCCTGGCCAGCGAATTCACCGGGCTTAACTACTCTGGATTTGTTTGTTTTGGGTCTTAGTAAAAACTAAGTTTATCAGCATACTTTTGCAGCAGTTACGAGAATGTGTAATGGAAGCATTTAGTATGATTATACCAGAAATGTGACATGATGTTCTGAATTGTACTGTAAGATCATATTTGTGTTTAGAAAATAGTGGCAACCTATTTGTACACCTAATGTGAATAGAAAAAATAATGTTAAGAATGTATCATCATATCATTATGTGATATGTAACTAGGACAGTTGCTGGCATGCTAACGCATTGCTCTAAACTGTAAAATTGATCTTTATCTTTCCATCTTTATCTTTAAGAAAGGACTCATTTTCAAATAGGTTGAAAAGAAAGAAACATTAAGCGGTTTCTTCTTTAAAAAAAACAAGTCATCTTCTGGAAGCAGTAGTTTTATAGTTACTGTGATACTATTCGGCGATTACTAACTTGCAAGACAGTTACGCAAGGATGTTGAATAGGATTTTGGGAAATAAAAACACTTATGATTAAGTACGACATTTTATTAAAAATATTAAAATTGCAGAGTATCACTATATGTATATACCATGAAATCTAAAAATATCCGAATAGACTGATATGTACAAACATTTATAATACACATACATAAAAATCACATTCAATAATCTAAATAACAGTATTGTGTAGATAGTAAAACATATTTATATACTTTTATTTACTGGTTTTTTGTTTCAAATTAAGTATACCACAGTTCAATGATTACTTAGTTGCATAAAGTCTATCAAAAATAAGTTACACTCACGCAGGACCAGTTACTTGGCTGATTACTTCAAATAATGGCTCAAAATTATTCGATCGATAATAAATTGAAATAAAAAGTGATTTAGCGAGCTCATAGTGAAAAATAATTGGGTAATAAAATTGAGATATTGACATAACACCCGGATGTTTGTTAATCCTGAAATTGGATAAGTTGCATTAATGTTATCCACAAGATTAATCAAAACGTCAAATATTCTAGAGCTTGCTTGATTAAAATAGAAAAATAAAATTGAAAGGCACATACAAACTTTTTTGTAACAGTAGCTTACAATTCAACATATTTGATCATTCATTATTCTTGAACCTTGATCATTTTGCTTGATGACGTTCATAATTTACAACTAAAATTCCACGACCTGCCTTGACGGGTCATATTTCAGATGAGGCTCATTTTTTTCCCTGAAGAGTACCCGCGGATGCATGAGGTTTTGTGAAATTTTGGGGTCGTTGGTCAAACGATTCGGTATGGAGACGCGCACAAAGCTTGCACGTTCAGCAAACGTGTTTTGGTAACTTTTCCATGTTCTTGCTACTCTCGTCATTGCCTTCGTAAAATATGACAATTTGAATAAAAATTGTCCAAGGAACTCAAAAATGACCTCCAAATCGCGGTATGATACTTCGTTCGACAGATATCTCAGTCAAACGTGATTTTTATGAAAATTCTTACCGATTTATTGGGCTGACAACTCAAATGCTTTCCGAAACAAAACACGCACAAAATTAATGTTTGTGTAAAGATAGAAATTGTCAGAAGAATTTAAAAATGGCTTTAAACTTACGATCTCATAATTTCCGTTAATGTAATTTTTATTGAAATATGTTATTATTTACTTGGGATGAGAACTCGAAAGCCTTCCAAAACAATAAATCAGCAAAATTTTTTTTTGACGCATCGCCCTATATATGTTGAAATTTGTTTTTGAGCTTCTAAATTGGTCGAGTAGGCCTTTCGAATCAGTTTTCGATATTCTTGCCAAAATTTTACCATTTTCAGCATGCTGAAGGAGGTATATGAATGTTATTGGATTTTGATCAAACTATTGGCAAACATTGGCTGAAACAGCTTCTGAGAGACATTCGCAAAAAACCTAGTAGCTCAGACTCCAGTGTGTCCTACAGCAACAATGTTGGTTAAATTAGGAAAAAGTAGCTTTGACTGTGTAATTTTGCAAAATTTCGAAACCTCGTTTTCCTTCAAATAACCCAAAATTGGCAAATCACAGAAAAATTATGGAAGCTGCATGTAAGATATATTACGCAACTTTCTCCTCATTCAACCAACATTGTAGCTCTAACCATTTTTGAAATATCGTTCCTCATCTTGGCGACACTATCGGTATTTTGCAAATGTCTCTCAAAAGCTGCGGTAATCACTTTGAATTAAGCAATGTGTCAAAATATTTGTAACATACATCTTTGACTAGTTCAATCTACAATAACATCCGTAAGCCTGAAAATGGTAAATGTTACACAAAAATATCGAAAATTGGCTCTAAGGGCCTATTCAACAAATTCAGAGGTCCGAGAACAAATACATTAATATTGTGGATTTTTTTTTGGAAAGTTTTCGAATGTTCAGCCTACAAAAAATTTGTTTTAGTTGAAACATCTGCCAAACAAATAATCAGATCGCAATTTGAACGCCATTTTTTAATTCTCTGGGCAAACATACTTCGGAAGAGTCACATACTGCGGGCCTAATGCATTACAATGACAGGAGTAGCGAGAAAATTGAAATGCCGCCAAAAAGGATAAAATCCACATTTTCTCAGAACCTTGAAACTTTAAGCGTGTCTCCAAAGTGAACCGTTCGGCTTGAGACCCTGCAAGTCCAATCTGAGATATGACCCGCCAAGCCAGGCCGAGAAATTTTAGTTTGAGCTGTAGATGAATAGGCTTAGCATATTGGTGACTGAAAATATTTTTTTCATAGTCAATAGAAAAATATATATGCATATGATATTATATATTAAGGTGATAGTTAAAATCTATCAAGTATGTATCTTTTATACACTGCGATGATTATTATTTGTAACATAATGGTGTGGCGACCTGGGTGAGAATACGCAAATTTACCGACAGTGATACTCTTAGTACCGACCCACACAATATTGTTGCGCGGTTTAAGGAAGACACGAGAGAAACATGGGAAGACAAAACCATTCTTTAAGTACTGGTACCATTAAGTATCTAAGAACAATATAAGCTCTTTCAATATTTGAGCATCTGGCATCAGTAATTCTTGTTATATGATATCTCTATAGTAGAAATTGAATTATGTATTTGAATCATTCCTAAACATATAATAAATACTTTAAATGAAACATTAAAAGTCATAGGTGCCCAGATGGGGAGTTCTAGGTAGTCGTGGTCCCCTCTGAAATCTGTTTGCCCTCTAAAATTTATATATTTTGGCATGTGTAGAATGTCTAGGATCTTGACAATATACAAAACTTTATACTCGCTGATGAATAATTGGTCCTTGCTGAGAAAAATTTCTGCAGGTTCCCATGACGTAACTCCATCACACAGCTTTTGTTTAGCTACATGTATTCGGTGTTAAGTTGGAAGCTGAAAATATACTGACCTGCCATGATACAAACGTTTATGGGATGTTCTTACATGAAGTGAACATGTAAGTACTACTGTCCTCAACAAATGGGTGGTTTGGAATTTGAGCAGCTTTATAATCTCGAAGAGGTGATAACCTCTTTATGCGTTAATCCTAACCTTATCACTGGCTATTTCACTGATCTACCTAAACCTATTCAGGAACTGATAACTGCTTTTGGAAGGCATCTCGCGCCACTCTGCGCAACTGATCACTCATCGCTCTGCCACTTTCGGCCACCATTTTGTAAAATACTCCCTGGGTGTTTTGCAAAAGTTGGTGGGGGTGATCGAACTCGACCATGGTACCGCCGTCCATCACCAGTACTTTGTCGGAGTCCATGATGGTGTTGAGACGATGGGCAACTGTTAAAACGGTGCAATCTCTGAATTTTTTACGGATTGTCTTTTGTATGAGGGCGTCAGTCCTGAAAAGAAAAACATGTTATTGTACAAAAGCAAAAGCATTCGGGATGCTTCCTCATCGTTTTGCAGTCTTCTTTCCTCCAACTCATGTTCGCATGTTAGGTATTCTCATTCGTGGAGTGATTATTTTTGGAATGGAGGTCATTCTTGTGTAATAGAATCACAGTTAGAAACGCATCAATTTTGAAAGATGCAGTTACCGAACAGTAGAACCGCAAAATTGAATAGAAGAGCAGCATGCCACAGGTTATCGAATACATATTTGATATACTTGATACCAAAGCAAATAATGTGAGACTCACCAAATAACCGTGGATGAGCTTATTTCACAACTGTGTCTGTAAGGTGGAAGATCTCCAATTGGTATCTGGCATCGCAAACCACATTACTTATTGGTAACCAAGTGGTGAGACTCATTATATTTTAGATGACCGTAGAGAGCAGAGCTATTGCCCTATAGTGATTTTAGTCGGTCTTGGATTAATTTTACTCCCCACGCCAGTGGGCGAGGAAGTACTATAATAATCGCGGAATATTTCGAAAACTTACTGTTATGCGTTTTGAATGTTACATGACATGTTTATCACCAAAAACAATGACATTTTCCGTCGTTCTATCTGTCGGTCTGTCTGTCCACTAATTCTTGGCCGTTGTATTAAGTGGAAAGTACTGCTTGCATTTTGATGAAATGTTGGCTCAAGGTTATCACTATGTCAAGGATGAAACAGTTTTACAATTGTTGGAAATCAATGTGATAGCGGAGTTACGGGCAAAAAACGTAAAGAAAAAAAAAGCTGAAACTTTCTTTGCCGTTTGCCGTATATTTGCCCTCAAGACTTAGAATGATAAAGCATTTTCGATACCCGCGCAACAAAAATACTTGGTAAAGAAACCTGCTGCCTCTGGTGGTTAACTCACCGCAATTTTTATCGCAACGCAAATGAATGGGAAATGAGTACTAATGATATGAGCCTTGACCAATTTAATTCCTGTTACTTCCTACGCCACCGGCGTAGAGGTGTCTGTTTGTGTGCTAATTCTTGGGCCGTTTATAACTTGGGATGTGCCGCTTGGGTTTTCATATAAGGTTGCCAAGGACAAACAAGCTTTGTAGTTTTGAAAATCGTTCTAGTGGTGGCGTCGAAAAAGGCCAAAAACGAGGAAAACAAACCCCTCAAACTTCGTTCTTTGATGTTCCAGAGAATCCTGATTATTTTCAGAAAAAATGGATGTTTGGTATAGTATAATTTATATATATATACAGAATAGCCCATCGATGAATGGACGGAATATAATTCATAAACAAATTCATTTTGCGAAAATCTATTTATGGCATGTTATACATGACATTTGAGGGCACATTTCTAAAATATTGGCAATTATACAGGGTGTCCCAATTTTGACCTACATATCAAAGTTGTGATTTATTAAATGGAATGCCTTAAATTTTATTGCTTTTTTTGATAAACAAATTCAAAAGAAGAAGACTGATATAACATACTACGGGGTTTTGGTAATTAGCTACTGAGATGTAAGGTATTCTGTCCAGAAAAACCGTCCGCTTCGGCAACCCCTCAATCCGCCATTTTGAAATTTTGAGTTCCGAATTTTGTATAAAAAAAACTTACACACCTCAGCTTTTATCCTCTTTGTTACTTTTTCGAATATACATTTTTGCTCATACAGGGTGATCAAAAACGCGAATTATACTTTTTCTCAAAAATTTCACATGCATCGACCTGAATATTTGTGCAAGTTTGGATTCAACCTTTTATAAGCTTTTTTTGGTATAAGGTTTAATTCAGACTGAATCACTAAATTTTGAGTTACTAAGCTTTTAATAGAACAACACACCAAAATTAAGGAAAAAATCACATCATCCATGGAAAAAAAAGACAAACAGTGGGCTAGTTCCATATTACCACTAAGAGTATAGATTTAACGTAAGAACTAATAACAATCAGAATAGCATAAATCAGCTTCAAGCGTAATAGAGAAAAACAACTATAACAACAACATAAACAACTATCAGTACTCAAGACCTAATCTACAAAAACTGCTCAAAAATATCTCCACCATGTTAAATACACAGCCGTAGTCTTTGGATAAATGACCGTTGCACATCCTTCAGCATGTTTTCCTTTATGCTCAGAAAAGCATCCTTAATCATTTCCTTCATATTTTCCGGGGTAGATGGTGGATATCTATAAACCTCTTGCTTAACGTAGCCCCATACAAAGAAGTCCATCGGTATCAAATCTGGTGATCTAGCAGGCCAAAATATAGGCCCATCACGACCGATCTAATGATTCTTACTCCAGGTGTGCAAATAGTTACGCACACGATTATGCTAATGCGCAGGTGCCCCGTCATGTAGGAAGTATATACGCACCCGAGTTTGCAGGTTGACATCGTCCTCCGCTCAAAACTAAGACCTTTAATAGGCAGAAGAAGCAAAGTGTCCTTAAAGAATAAGACCATCATGATTCAGATGGTGCTGCTCCAAATCATGACTTATGCAGCAGTATAGCTTGGGGCCACGTTTCCAAAACGTTGAAGAAGAGGCTCCAAGCTCAACAAAACATAGCACTCCGTGACGCGGTGGACGCACAGCCTAACAGAGTGCTATATGACGAACTACGACAGGTACCGGTCGTAATCCAGATGAGAGAGAGGGCCCGAAAGTTCTTTGAAAAGAACGAAAGTCACCGAAATGTGCTGATTAAAGACGCCTTGGATTACGACCCAAGAACAATAAGGCGTCATAAAAGACCGAAAAGCTAGCTGCAACAAGAAGAAATTTGGCCCTAGCAGCTGATGAGGCTAAAGAAAAGGGGAGAAGACCGAAAAAAGTTGTACACCCAAGAGGGGAAAGAACAGCCCGTGTACAACGGGTGGACAAAAAGAAGCCTGTCGATTGAGGTGGCCAGAGTCAAGCACGGACTCGGGGCTAACCTCAGGAGATGAAGACAAACAGCAAATGACTGACTGACTCCAGTCGACGAAGAAAGAGCGAAGGCTCACCAACCTTAATGCGGGGCTTAGATCTAAGCCCCCAACTCAGAACCCCCAAGAAAGAGGCCGTCCATAAAAGTCGAGAACCGACAGTTGGATGAAATGTCCACCACGTGCTTCCGATCGAGTCAAATTTCGGGAAAAAGGGGCAAAATTGGGGAGGAGGGCAGCTCGCTCGGCAGCACACACTCGGGAATGCGCAGCGGCCTGAACCACGCAGCGCCACGCCAGGCCTTCGGGCGGGAGTGGAGGGAGGAGCAGATTGCTCTTCCTCCCACTCCTCAAGGGTTTGAGGTTGCCTGGAACAGGGGTGGTGGAGGGACAGTACAGGGTAGAAGGATGTGTGTGTGTGTGTGTGTGTTGACATCCTCCAAAAGCAAAGGAAAATGCTCGATCAACAATTCAAGTAATCTGTATCTATTAATCTGTTGTCGAAACTGAAAGTCCCGACAACTTGTCTGCCAAAAACTCTTCCCCAAACATTCAAGGTCCATTTATTTTAGAAATCTATTTGCCTAACCCAGTACGGGTTTTCCGTCGAAATAATAGTGCATGTTATGCCTGTTGACAACATCTATGCAGTTAACAGCTTCCTCATCGCTAAAAAGAACCTTATCCAGGAAAGTAGTGTCTTCACTCAGTTTATTTAGCATTATTCTACTAAAGTCCATTCGAGCTGCGAAATCCTGAGGAGGAAGGCCTTGATGCAAGAATCGATGGTACCTATGCTTGTGAATAATCCTTTGGACAGAAGTTCTGCATATATCAGTTTCTGCTCCAGTTTGTCGTGCACTTCAATGGGGATTTTCCTGCAAATTTAATAGAACCTCCAACTGATTCGCCTCATTGGTGGCACTTGGATTATTTATACATTTTTTACTATATTCCACTGCTCCACTTGATTCAAAACGTTCTCGTTGTGTGGAAAATGTTTCCGGCCTTGGATGTCGCATATTAGGGTACCGTTGCTTATAAATGCGAGATGCTAGGAAACTATTTCTTTGGGCTTGGCCCAAAACGAACACCATTTTCACCATTTCTTCTTTAGAAAAATTCATTTTCAAACACGTTTTTATTATAATGGTCACAAAGCTAATTTTGACAGTTTGTAACTAATCAACAATTTATTTGTTTCCAAGGATGTTGCGATATTTTAAGGAATTAATCCGTTCCATAAAAGACGTGCTAATAACAGAAGAAATAGCCGTAAAAACCCTTGTGTCTAGTATCAAAAAAAGCTTATTATAAACTGAATCCAAACTTGCACAAATATACAGCATGATGCATTTGAAATCTTTGAGAAAAACTCCAATTTGCGTTTTTGACCACCCTGTATGAGCAAACATTAAAATTCGAAAAAGTAACAAATAAGATAAAAGCTGACGTGTCTCAGTTTTCTTTATACAAAATTCAGCACTCCAAATTTCAAAATGGCGGACTGAGGGGTTGCCGCAGTGGGGGGTTTTTCTAGACAAAACACCTTATATCTCAGTAACTAATTACCAAAACCCCATAGGTGTTATATCAATTTCCTTCTTTTGAATTGGTTTATCCAAATATGCAATACAATTTGAGCCATTCCATTTGAAAAATCAAAACTTTGATATGTAGGTCGAAATTGGGACACCCTGTATAATGGCCAATATTTTAGAAATGTGCCATCAAATGTCATGTATAACATCCCAATAATAGATTTTGCCAAAATGTATTTGTTTATGAGTAATATTGATGGGGATGGATGGGCCACACTGTATATATATATATATATATATATATATATATATATATATATATATATATCTATCTATCAATTTTTTTGTTTCCAATCCCGGTAATTCTACACGTCTATCAGACATATTTGTTAATATCCGTTTGTATCCGTGTATTCAGTGAAATTCATTTTGGTCTTCAATGTGTGCAAGAGAGAGAGAGAGAGAGAGAAGCGTTCAGCACCAATGTAACTCGTATGTTAGGAATAGTGCTCCCTACAAGCGTCGTCACCACGTTGCTTGACAACGTTGCCACCATACAGTCGTGCTCCGCGCCCTTCCCACTGTCGTTGCCAGGCAACGTGGTAGCGACTCATATATGATGCACTCTTTCTAGCATACGTGTTGCATTGGTGCTGCACGCTTCTCTCTCTCTCGTACACTGAAAGCCAAAACCGCAAAAGTAAATGAATTTCACTGTATAACCTCGTGTTGGATTGAGCAGTTGCTGGCTGGTCAGTGCTGCCGGTTGGGCAGTAGATGAGTTCGCATTGTTGGAGTATGGACTGATTGTATGAGACCTGACGCCATTTCTTTATTCTGCGCAATACCAGCTCGTTGGTAACATGGCATATTTTCGATTGCACGATAGAAACACATCATTTCGAAGGCTTCTTGTTTTTTAATAGTTTGTCTTATCAAGGTCAAAGATGCAACCCCATATAACAGAACAAAAAAAATGTAGCCTTCAAGTAGTCTAGTCATTTGTTCCTAAAGAGATTGTATGGCATTTGTAAACTACCTGAAACATTGCTCTTACTTTCTCTGCCCGCCATATGATTTCTTGCGAGGATCTCATTGATTTTTTAATTGCGTTGGAAGTGCATGGTCAATCTACATGACGGTATTTCTTGGAATGGTCTAAACATGAGCTAAATACCAGTTTGTTGGGAAAATACCGGACTTCAAGGACATCTGTTGTGAGGCATAGAAAGAACGGAAGAAACGCAGTTTCAATATCACAGCAGTGGTCATGTCAGGACCATTAATATCGTTGATAACAAAGAACTGCAGCAGCTTCTTCATGTTTGACACAGTTACAGTGTGGCAAGCTATGGATATCTGGACATGGACATATTATTATTTGGGAAGTATGTCTATATTACAATCGTTTGCTGGGATAAGTATGATTCCAAACCTGCCACTGATACTTCAGATTGTTCTCTGAACTAAATCAATTATAAACTAATCAACATATAGCAAAACCTACTACGATTTTCATACTTACTGTGGATCTACATTAGCGGTAGCTTCATCCAACATTAGGATCCTGTTGTTCCTGATGATAGCTCTAGCTAAACATATCAGCTGCCTTTGTCCAACGCTGTAGTTTGAGCCTCTATCCATAACTCTATTCTCCAATCGGTTGATGATGTTGGCAGGATTCTTTAGTTCTACGTCCTCGATAGCTTTGTACAGGACCTCATCGGAATACTGGTCGAAGGGATCGAGGTTGTATCTTAGAGTACCGGAAAACAGCACAGGGTCCTGAAGTTAAATAGTATGGTCAGTTGTATGTATGGCAAGTTGTCGAAGTAGTTACGCACTACTGGTATGGTATCGTAATATTGTAAATTATTAGGTGTACTGACCTGGGGAATGATAGAGATCTTGGATCGCAAGTTTTCAAGTTTCAGCAATTTAGTATCGATGTCGTCGATAATTATTTCTCCTTCGACATTTGCAAGTCGAAACAACGCAGATATGAGGGAGGATTTTCCCGCCCCTGTTCTTCCAACTATACCGACCTGAAATCAACAGGCCTTCAATAAGAGTAGATCAAGTAGACCTTCCTGATATTTTAAGTCAAAAAATTAAAGTTGGAAATATTATGTCAAGTATTCAAAATATATCAGTAGGAGTGCCACAGGGGAGTAAATTAGGGCCGTTACTATTTATTATTTATATAAATGATATCTCTGACATTTTGAAATACTGCAAAATTCAAATATTTACGGACGATACACTTATATATATAGCACATAAGCACTTGGACACTGCTTTAGAACTGTTAAATATTGATATTGAAAAAATTATGAATTGGTTAAATGTCAATAAACTTAAATGAAACATTAATAAAACAAAATGGATGTCAATAGGGAAACATTTAGGTGACAATACAATTTGGCTCATGATTAATGATGAAAAAATTTAAGTAGTCGAGTCATTTAAATATCTTGGTATATATGTGGATAGTGGATAGTAAGCTACTTATTTCAAAAATATCGAAAAAGATAAATTACTTCTATAGAGTTTTCCATAATCTTAGTATGTATTCCAAAAAAATGTGTATAACACTATAATTCTTCCCCATTTTTTATATTGTTCAACCATCTCATTTACAGCAAATGAAAACATATTTTCAAGATTACAAATTCTACAAAATACAGCTGTGGGAATCATTTTAAATAAAAACAAGTATACTAGGATTAAGTCTATCTTAGAAGAACTGCAGTGGTTGGATGTGAAAAATTTCATATATTATTTAGTTCTCGTTTTCATATTCAAATTGAAAAACCATTTATTACCAATGCATTTAAATTAAAACAAAATTAAATAGTCAATTACCATAACTACGAAGCTAGAGGCAGTATAGATTTGCATTTGCAAAATTGTAATAGTAGCATAACTAGTAAATCTATATTTCAAAAGGGAGTATTTGAATTTAATAAATTGAATAATGATATTAAACAAAGTTCAAATTTAAAAGTGTTCAAGGTGAAATTAAAAAATCACTTTTGAATAATCAAAATACATAGTGACGTAATTTTAATTTTAATAAAGAAGAATGTAAAACAGAAAATGGATTGAAGAAAAATATGTAACCGAATCATTATACAAAATTGATATTGTAGCATTAATGCTAAATAAATCTTCAACAACAACAAAAAAAGAGTATTTCGTGAATTTTATCAACTGATACATTAGTGGAAATAATACCTTCTGCACCAAAAATACCTTTACGAAATTATTAGTATTGAGTTGGATGTTGATTTTTCTAAAAAGTGTTCTTTATATACGATTCTGTTTTGTAGGCTAATTGATTTATACTAGTTAACAAGTAGTTTAGTACATGGTGAGTTAATTGAACTTAATGGAATACTAGTTTCATGTAAATATTTTAGGTAGTCAATAAAAATTTGGCAGGCAACTAGTAAGGAATATTATTTTTCGGCTAGTTAACTCGCTTTCATACTTTTTATATTTGAGTTAGCCAAGTAAGAGCACCCCTTACTAGTCACTATAGTAAGCCACAACATTTCTATGGACTACCTGGAATGCCTCAACCTTATATTCCATTAAGCTCAATAGCAAGTTCAATTAACTCATGTAGCAAATTATGTAAATACTTTTAACTTATAAATCCATTAGCAAACAAAACAGAATCGTGTATAAAAACAGCCCATGATTTTTAGAAAAATTATCCACTCGAAATACTAAAAGTACTACTGAATAATGATAATAATTTGTCAGAGCGTACAAAACCAAAACCAGAAGGTAGCGGGTGATTTTTTAAGAGGTATGGGATTTGATTTAAAAAAAAAAACACAAAAAATTTGAAAAAACGATTAAATCTCTATTTGAGTCGATAGAACGGTCGATATAATATAATTTTTGAAGATTATTCCATGTAAATGTTGGCCGCGGCTCCGCTTTAGATGGCCCATGCGCAAGGTCCAATTTTGGCACACTCTCCAACATATCGGCCGGTATCTCACGAAAAATGCTTCAATATTGGCTTCCAGTGCGTCAATCGTTTGTGGTTTATCCGTCTAGACATTAACCTTAAGATGGCCCCACAAGAAATAGTCCAACGGCGTTAAATCACACGATCTAGGCGGCCAATTGACGGGACCCAAACGTGAGATAAACTGTTCACCCGAACTCGCCTCTCAATAGGGCCATTGTTTCGTGTGCGGTGTGGCATGTGGCACCGTCTTGTTGAAACCACATGTCAGCCAAGTCCAGCTCTTCCATTTTGGGCAAAAAAGTTTGTTATCATCGCACGGTAGTGCTCGCCATTCACAGTTACGTTCCGGCCATTGTCGTCTTTGAAGAAGTACGGCCCGATGATGCCACCGGCCCATAATCCACACCAAACAGTGATTTTTTTCGGGATGCATTGGTAGCTCTTGCAATGCTTCTGGCTGGTCTTCACTCCAGATGCGGCAATTTTGCTTGTTAACGTACCCATTCAACCAGAAATGAGCTTCATCGCTGAACACAATTTTTCGATAAAAATGTGGATCTTCCTCCAACTTTGCCAGCGCCCATTCACCAAATGGGAAACGTTGTGGGAGGTCGTGTGGCTTCAATTCTTGCACCAGCTGTATCTTATAAGGTTTTACACCCAAATCCTGTCGCAAAATTTTCCACGTAGTGGAGTAACAGAGGCCCAATTGCTGCGAACGGCGGCGAATCGACATTTCACGGTCATCACTAACACTGGCGGATACAGCCGCAAAATTTTCTTCAGTCCTCACTCTACGTCTGCGTGTTGGTGGTTTAATGTCCAATAATGTAAACTGGGTTCAAAATTTAGTCACAAGCTTCCGAATAGCTCCCTCAGTAGGCCGACCAAATTGTCCATAAATTAGAAGCAGTGCTCGATGCACTCTCTTAACCGAGCATGAATTTTGATAGTAAAATTCAATAATTTGCAAGCGTTGTTCGTTCGTAAGTCGATTCATGGTTAAATTATAGACCAAACTGAACAAGTTTGACAATGACACTAGACACGATTCACGCGTCATCTGTCAAAAACAGTGTTGCCAAAAAGATACTAGCAAAAAAATCACCCATTATAATAGATTTTCTCGATGTTTCCCTCAAATCAACCTACTTTCAGTTGCATGACAAATTTTATGAACAGAATATTGGTATTACAATGGCATCTTCACTCAGTCCTGTATTATATAATATATTTCTGGAACATTTTGTAATAAACTACATGTATAATAACACAAGAACATCCATATATCTCTATCAATTTGTATCAATAATTTATTCTTCACCAAAATATGATTTCGATTCTCACGATCATGAAACAATATCCCTCTGAGGAATATTGTTTAAAAGCAAGCCTGAAGAGGTTTGAAAAAATTAGGAATTTGCATATTTCGAAATTCCTCAGCACTAAATTTTTTAATCTTGTTTGAATGACCATACCTTCTCCTTTGGATTGATTGTCAGATTCAAATTTTTCAGAACCAATGTACCGCCCTCTACATAAGATAGACCCATATTTCTGAAAGTGATCTCCCCTTTGGCAGGCCAGTCTTTAGGCGGTTCCTTAGGTTGCTCAGGCTGCTTTTCCTTGGGCAAATTTTTGTACTCCAAGATTCTTTCCACGGACATTAGTTGATTGGCTACTTCAGCTGACTGTCTCATACCCCACTGAACTGAGCCTGTCAATGCAATGGCCTGAGTGATTGCCAATCCTACTTCACCACCTCGCATACCAAAAGCTGTAAGGAAAATATGTAGTTGCTTAGTCTTTTTGACTTCTGACCATTAAGTAATATTAGGTGGTTGGTAAACCTAGAGGCATTTCAGCGATCACCCCATTGGGGTCGTTCCTGGAATTTATCTCTGGGACGTACTTGGCGTCGAATTATTGGGCTTTGTTCGTTTATCTTAAAATGGTACGCCGAATAATGTTTTGTTTTAGGGCTACCTCATGATGTTTATGATTTACATATCACAGAGATTATATTTGAATTTTAGTCAGTCCTCTAACTACACATGGATCTTTTGTTATTTTAGTATTTATGTTTCCGCAATAAATATACATGATCAATTAACAAGAGATAGTGCTTGCATGATATTGCACTGATCAGGTTCATAATTTGGAGAAAAAATCCAGATAGGTAGAATGCTTCTATACCGAAAAAAGTGAACAATATTCTACCAGCGGTTTCTAGAGCTTAAAATAGGAAGAAAAGTTTATATAAACATAGGTCGACAATCGTCCCCTAAGGGCGCTACGGTCTTTTAAAGGGGCTCCACTGAAGATGGTTTTTCCTTAATATTTCCGAAACGTGTTGAGATAAAGATATAAAATTTGGTATTCTAGAATAGTTCTTTATGCTGGATTTAAAAATATTAAAAATTTTATACAGTTTTGTTTGGAAGCGTATGTAACATGGACGGACTCAGGTTATTTTAGCCCCAAAATTTTTGTGTGATTCTATTTTTGAAATTCAATTTTAGAATTTAAAAAACTAGGGTTTTAATTTTTGAATAAAATCAAACTAAAAAATTTGTCACATGATAGGAAATGTACTGCGAATTTAAATGAATTGTTGAATAATTAGTCGTGGCAACGAAAAAACTAATTTAATAATTGGTAAATATTACATAAATACATATTTCTATTGCAACATTTAGGCAAAAAGAAAAGAAATAATTTTTTTTCTACGAACGACATTGAAATTTGTTTAAAACAGAAGACATACAGTTGGATATACTTAAAACTAGCTTTACAATAGACGTTCAAATAAATTCCCATTTTGTTGGATACAGAGTCTCGACGAACTAATGATTGCGTAGCCCGAAAAGTGGAAAACCTTTTTCTTCTTATTTCATTTGCAGCATGAAGGATTCTTTGAAGTGAATCTTCTTGAGTATTTACTTTAGTCAAGTAAACTAGGTCTTTTGATGACCCCCAAAAAAGAAATCGAATGGATTTGGCTCAGGTGAACGTGGCGTGGCGGCCACGCTATAGGACCTCCTCGGCCTAACCACCTGTCTGGAAAATTCAACCAATTTCGAACATTGCGTCCAAAACGTGCATGGGCGCCATCATGTTGAAAAAACATATTTTCTTGAAACTGCTGGTGCACATCCAATGGTATTATATCCATGAGCTCATTCTGAAGAAAGTTCAGATACACCTCTGAATTAAGACGATTGGGAAGTACAATAGGCCCAATTACTTGATCCCCAATTACTCCTGCCCATAAGTTCTATGAAAATCTATGTTGGAAATTTGTATGGTGAACAACTGTTTGGATTTTCATCTGACCAGTGATGCATGTTATAGAAATTAAAAGCACCATTCCTAGTAAATATTGACTCATCCGACCATAATATTCTAGTAATAGTGTTTTCATTTGCTAATATCCACTGGCAAAAATCAATTCGTGGTAAAAAATCTGCCTCCGTTAAATGCTGCAACCGTTTAAAATGATAACGATGTAATACTTGCATTCTTGTCATTCTTCCTATCTAAAATTATTATTTTTTAGGATAACTATCAAATAGGTATTCATAAATTTTTCTTACTATTGATCGAGGTATATCCGTAATTCCTGAAACATTTCGTATGCTTATTTGCGGATTATTTTCAAACATATTTAAAGCAATATCCATACGATGATTTCCCAGTGGCCTTCCTAAGCCCTGCATGCCGAAAACTTCCATGGTTTGACAAATTCCGATGAATATCAGTAAACATTCGACGTCCAGGTACTATGCGATTGGGAAATCTTCTATGATATTCTCTTACGGCTGCCAATGAACTGCCATGGCAAAACGCGTACACAAAATGCATGTCAGTCAGTTCTCTGTCTGTAAATCTTGGCATTTTAAATCGATTTAATAAAAATTTTGATTTTAATCTAGTAATTTTACACTGCTAACAATGTCAGCTTAACGTCAAAATAAGTCATAACAAATCAAAACAACTTTTGCTTGCAGTCATGGCTAACTATTTATAATCAACAATTCATTTAAATTCGCAGTACATTTCCTATCATGTGACAAATTTTTTAGTTTGATTTTATTCAAAAATGGCACAATTAATCGATATGCAATAAGATTACCTTTTTTATGTAGAAAACTCTAAATTTTTAAAATCTAAAATTGAATTTCAAAAATAGATTCACACAAAAATGTTGGGGCTAAAATAACCTGAGTCCGTCCCTGTTACATACGCTTCCAAACGAAACTGTCTGAAATTGTTAATATTTTTAAATCCGGCATAAAAAAACTAGGCTGGAATACAAAATTTTATGACTTTATCTCAACACGTTTCGGAAATATTAAGGAAAAACCATCTTCAGGAGAGCCCCTTTAAAAGATCGTAGCGCCCTTAGGGGACATTTGTCGACCTATGTTTATATAAACTTTTCTTTCTATTTTAAGCTCTAGAAAGCGCTGATAGAATATTGCACAATTTTTTCGGGACACCCTGTATATGTACAATGTATTGTAATGAAGAATTTGTTCTATTATTGCTGGGACTGTTCAATAAATATTTTATTAATTATACATTTTTTTGTTATCCTGAAATTCATTACTAGCCAAACTGAAAGAAATGAAAGAAATACTTCCTTTATTGAGGATGTGTTATGCATCTATGATCATCGAATTGCCTCAGGCCCCAAATTGTTTGTAGGTACAACTTCTTCAAATAAATTCCAAAAATTAATGATTTCGCTTCATCAAAGGTAGCATTCGTTTTTTTTTTTTTGATACTCCGAAACAAAACGATGTTTGACAATATTTGTCAAAAGTTGATTTTGTACGAGACGGGAAAGTACAAAAAATTGCTTGTACGATACCTAAAAACGGCCTAAAAAAACGAAAATGTTAATGTCGCCATGCTTCATAAATAACCATTAACACAATTGCGATACCTTTTGGGAGATACTGTTATTATAAACCTTTGTATTTAATTGATATGCAAGCGCACGCTCAACGTGCACGAGAGATATTTCATCTCTCTCTCGCGTCTAATTCACAATCACTATGCAAATATTTACAATAACTGTACTTCTTAAAATGATCTGGGTGTTTTGTTATTGGTTGGTTGAAGCATGTGCGAGATTTGTCAACATCAAAATATTCATTTTTCATATTGTTTTTGGGGTAGCAAATGGCATATTTTCAGTTTTTACATTTACTTATATACTTATATATATATATATAGAAAAAAGTTCAAAAGCTAATTTTTTGTTCAGAATGTCCTAAAAACCGCAAAATAGTTTAAGCATAGCGAACAAATCAATTTTTGGAATCGGTTTAATAACAATTTTTGGAGCAATTTTGGGCCTAGTCACATGCAGATTCTTTAACAGAGGTCCTTGAATCAGATTATGCAAAAATCGGAAGTTTTCCGAGTAGATGTTCCGATATTATCTGGACTACTATATTATCCGAGTTCTGTGACTGATTACCAGTGCATTGGCGCAAGCGTGTGGGGAGGGGCCACTTGTCAATGTCAAGGCAGGCCCCTAAGGCCCGTATCCTCAGTCGTCCCTACAATTATTGTAGGGCGCGTTTATGGCCTCCTTGATTGTGATACTGATTTCTCTCCTTCAAAAATTTCTAGATTAAACTTGTCCCGTGTCAGCATCAGCGCTGTCCTATTGTGAAGATATGTTTTCTTTTTAAATTGTAGGAAATTTCAGGCTGATAAAACATGATATAACTCAAAAGCACAATTTGATGCAAATAGATGTTTGTGACATAACCTCAAAATAGAATTCTGACACGGAGAAGTAGAAAACTATGACAATCAAGGAGGCCATAAAGGCGCCCTACAATTGTATGGACGACTGACACTCTTTCATCTGCTACTTTGACGTTAAACATATGATTTTATTAGTGTGTTTAATGTTGATATTAATCACATCCAAGCGAATAACCAAAATTTCTGTGTTATGTGCCGCGGTTATAATATGGTTCAAGATGGCACACGGGTTGAAGATGACGTCATTTACACGAATCGCTTGAACGCGTTGGTTTTAACCGCGGTTTTGTTGCAAGTTGTTTATTTTAGAAAAGCGCGTATATAATCTCTGATTATTTTTATTATCACTTAATCATCGGTGCCTTTTCGTCTACAACTGTGTATGGAAAGTTTAAAAAAGAAACCTTTCATAATATTCATGGGAGAAATGTTTTTTTTTAGATTATTTTTTAATGATGGACCCATGGCTTTGTAGCTATGATAACTTTCAATTCTCTAAAGTTTTCCGCATGTCAAAGAAAACATTATTGATTCAGCAGAAATGATGAAAAAAGATATTAGCAAAACCGTATACAGGTGGACATCATCTAATGAGTTTATATGGCCATATTTTAATATTCTTGTGGTATATGCCTACACAGGATACTTTGTTAAGCATAGGAACTACATTTAAAGTGTCCCCATCAACAACAGTAATGAGTAAAGGTGCTCAACTTTATGGTAAAACTGAAGTCAGCCTGTATCAAGTTTCCCAAAAATGAAGCTGAAATACAATAACAATATCCAATACCCGGTAAAATTCTAACTTGTCACATATCAAATAATAACCAGAAATATAAAACTACTCCTGAGTTGGGTCAATACCACAATTTTGCGGTGATACCTATGACATATAACAGCTGATTCATGACGTCACGGATCGTAATACCAATCCAAAAGTGTAAATACCATTTTCATTTGGTTATCCGCTTGAATTTGATTATAGTCGCC